TGCAAGCATGCAGTAGATACTTGTTCAATTACGCACGATTAGATTTTCTCGCTGAATGTAACGGTAAACTTTAACCGAGTTAAGGTCCAGTCGAAATTAACAAACCATGTAAGGAAACTAGCGCCATGGACTAACATTATACAGTTTTATAAGACCTCTAGATGTAAGGAAACAAGTTACACGAATCACATCGCAATATTTGAACTTGATTTCCTTAGTATTTTAATTTGACCCACAGACTGAGTTATTGTAGACTCCTTTTCATCATTACTTCCTTGCCCGCGCGTGAGCAACTGTACACTAACGACATTATCAGTATGGACTTTTTTTTTAATGTAATAGGTCGGCAAACGAGCAGACGGATTACCTGATGGTAAGCAATCAGCGCCGCCCATGGGCACCCGCAACGGAGGAGTTACAAGTGCGTTGCCGACCTTTTAGGGATTAGGGATTTGGAGATTAAGGGATTGAGGGAGGGGAAGGATTGGGCCTCCGGTAACCTCACTCACACGGCGAAACACAACGCTGTGGTTGTTTCACGCCGGTTTTCTGTGAGGCCGTGGTATCACTCCGGTCGAGCCGACCCATTCGTGCCGAAGCATGGCTCTCCCACACTTTCTGTTAAAAACATCATAAAAAACATCCATAGATTTTAGATTAATATCCATTATTGATTTCGGTCATAAGACACGTTATTATTACATTTCGGAGAGCCAAGTCTTACCTGAACCTTATATACTGCTATCTGCAACCTCTTTGCCAACCGCGACGGGTATGACCACAAACCTTCTTACAAAAAAATATGTACACTTCTTCCTCTGGACTGTCACCTCCACGTAAATGTTGATGACGAAGTAACGGTCGAAATCCATAGATTTTAAAATCTATCGAATTTGTTGTATGAGTTACGGGAAAAGAAATAACATTTTTTATTGCTACAATTGAAATTTTATTTCATTTATTTTATCTCAATTCAATTCAACTCTGCTTTTATATCCCTGGTCATACATAAATTGAGAACATAAAAGTAAATTGCTTTAGTCAAATGCATTTAATTACTCTGTACAACACATTCTAGTTCTTATGAATTAATGTTATACAATCTTAGTTTATGTAATTAAACCTCCATGGGAATGTACGAAAGTTAATAAATATATTATTTTTATCTTGAAATGTCTACGTGTAAATTTTGACCAGTAATATTAAAATCAAGTGGAGAGGTAAGTAAAAAGATAAATACACAAACTCTTTGTTGTACACCATTTATAGTAAATTCGATTTTTAATCCACAATCTCTGAATGTCTGAAGTGATACCTAATTTATTTTAATCGTCGATCGGTTGTCAAAAATCGAACGTATCGATATATAATCGATTTCATCCGTTACTACCGTTAATGGTTTAATTATTTCATTATTCATCATCATCAGCCTTATATGAGTCTTCATCACCAATCATCACCGTCTCCTTTGTTGTGATCTTCAGTACATTCTAATTCATTATCACAACTGGTCTGAAAAAAAATGGGAAATCAAACAACCGCTCATCATTCGTTATAACTTGGTATTTCCGAGCTGACGTCACCGTTACTACCGCACAAATTCAAAATACATAATTAGAATTCACATATTCTAGGTTAAGCCGTATCGAGAGTTATGAATCATGCGTAAATCAAGTCTCTGTTATACTCCATGTATGAGAACTTTTTAGTGAGCGGTCTTAGTCATTAAGTGAAATTATAGGTCACCTGCCATCTTCTGGGGTAAGTGACCCTTGAATGAGATGCGTCATATGGTGCAGCCTACGCGGATCGCAGGTGGTCAGGGCTCTGCAATATTGTAGAACATAAAGCGAACTCCAATCTATGAAATACACCAATCTAGCGTAGATAATGGGAAACTCCTCTGAAGAGGACTTCCAGCAGTGGACTCTCACAAACTGATGATCATGATGAAGTAGATGAAATGATAAAAGAGTGAAGATGATGGTCATTATAGGTAGGTTCTTTTATCTATGCTTGGGTTGTCACTGGCCTTTGTGTCTTGGATAAAAGACTGTTGGGATAATGCGCTTAAGACATCGCTTTTGATAGGTAAAATATGAGACTGTCAATTTTGTAACCGGCGTGGTAGGAGACATTTAGAAGGAATTTTCGAATACAAATCATCTCGAGATACTCTGATACAACACAGTTACATGTACATTAAATAAAATACATATTAATTACAATGAATCGGTTTGAGGTTTGGCGAAACGTTTAACTTATTGCTAACTAGCTCTTACCCGCGGCGTCGCTCCCGTCATTTGACTACCTACCCTACTCTACTTGCCCTACCACCCTATTTTACCTACCCTACTATACCTACCCTACTCTACCTACCCTACTCTACCTACCCTACTCTTCCTACCCTACTCTACCTACCCTACTCTACCTACCCTACTCTTCCTACCCTACTCTATCTACCCTACTCTACCTACATTACTCTACCTACCCTACTCTACCTACCCTACTCTACCTAACCTACTCTACCTACCCTACTCTACCTGCCCTACTCTACCTAACATACACTACCTACTCTATCCTATGTCCTTCTCCTGGCTCTAAACTACCTCCCTGCCAATTTTCAGCTACATCGGTTCAGCCGTTCTTGAGTTATAAGTGGTGTAACTAACACGACTTTCTTTTATATATATAGATTGAAATACAAGACCATGTCCACCCGTGGGTAACGTTCTACAAAAGCCCTCCTATATTAGATATTATAATGAAGAGTGATACAGCGAAAATCGCATGGATTTGCGATATATTTTTTTCGGCCATACTTGAAGTACATTAGGGATAGGGATACTTCAGTCCTTTAAATAAATTTTGTAACAATTTAATTTGGAAAGCGGTATTATCGGATTGTGATTTCCTATTATTGCAACTGTCGTCCTATCTATTGGATTTTTAGCACTTTCATCGTCATGAAAGGGATTTCAGGATTTAGGTAATCTAAATTATAAATACTTACGAATCATAACTTGACATGCGTCTGATAGTTGTTAAATCGCGCTCTACTTACGAGTAGGAACCGTGATAAAACTGACGAAAAATATAAATATAAATGAAATAAATGTTTACACATATAAGTAAATGAAATAAAATATTCGTTTTATTTTTACTTATTAGGTCATTGGGATTTTGGGGTCTCTTGGTTGATTATTTATACTTCGAAAATTACGTCCGTTACTTCAAGTGCAAGTTGTCGGAAGCTCCATTACTTTTATTGACCAAGAGGCATCCTCAATCTTTAGTCAGAATTGATTTTCCTCTTATATTTCATTCGAAAATAATAATTGCGCCCTAACTTACGTGCAAACGTACGCCACAGCCGCAATCATCTTAACATGTCGATGGCAACGATATGAAATTACACATACATACCTATGTATAGATTTAGGTAGATAAGTAGAGAGTAACGAGAATTTATTAGTAAGTAGATTAATAATAATAATAAATTCAAAGAACGTTTAATCAATATGTCTGCAACATTTTATGTAGGGCTTGCTTTGAAAAATGCTTTTAAATAAATCCTCCTTTCTAAAACCTTCAGCATTTGTGGAATGAAATATTGAAGCAATATTAATATAAAAAAGAAAATGAAATAAAATTTAAAAATAGAACATGTTCGGTGAATGTAAGAACATGGTAGGTACTTAATCTTGAGTTTGCGGAATATCGAGAAGCGATGCGATGTAAATGGACGCTACTTACAAGACTGACAGACATCTACAGATTTCACTTATCTCATCAAAGTAAACACTTCCTCATTACTCCAATTAGTGTTTTAATTTGTTACGCAACACTACAAAGTATAAAGTATAACATGAATTTTCATGAGCCAGGTGCGATTAGTTTAACTATTTCACACAAATCAAGTTACTGCAGTGAACGTGATTTTGAAAATAAAAGTAAACGTGCACTTTCCCTGTTAAATGGACGTCCGTAAAAGTATCAAGAATGTGTGTTAATGCACTTATAATAGTGTAATGATAACGTTTGCTATAAAAGCTACTATTACTATTCATGAGCACATCTAATTTGATATAATTCGGATAAATTGCTGTAACGCCCTAATGACACCGGCTGTTTGAGATTTTTGTTGTTTCGGTTAAGAATTTTATTTTTAATTATAATTTTGACTTACGCTGTTGGTATTTGCTAAGTGATTTTTATGAAAAATAAAGTTGATACTTGTCTAGGAAGGTTCATTTCTCCTTGTATAATAAAGTGTTTACTATATTTACTTTATCTTAACTTTAGGTTGATTCTTAAATAATCAACAAAGTTCTTAAGTGTCAGAACAAGTTATTTTTTTAGGCAAAATTAATTCCAACTTGGTCGGATACTCGTCAATATGAGAATTGGGCGAATACATTGCTCTCGTCTTAGAACTATCAATTTTAATGAAAATGGAATAAAAACACCAACGGCAGATAGCTGTACATCCATATTTAATATACATTTTGTGTAGTGTGTGAGATTCATAATAATATATCGTGGCCAGAACAATTAAGGTCCACAAAACAATGATGATGATGTGCGTGCAGCTTGCGACATACGTCCACTGATATAAATTAATGTAACCATGCTATAACGGAACACAGCCAGCTGCTGAGGTATATTTTAATTAGTTCAAGCAATTCCATTTTATTACCCATGATTTAGCTGTTTGTCCTGTAATTATTCCGTACTTTTAATTGCGCAGACCTACGATCAGCGGCTCGACGGCACTAAATCGTTTATTTTAACTTAACACACGCGTTTATCTCTTGAGTGAACACCACCCGCCCCCCAATGGCGAAATGACTGACAGATGTCAGGAGGGTGGCGCTACAGACGACAGCATAGGTGAGTGAATCCATTGTCGAAAATGCACCGGTGTGCAAGGCAATGCAACCTGCTGTCAAGTCGCAAGTTCAAGAGCAGGCACGCGACTCAAGAGCGGCCAGAATCGCCGCAGCTTTCGTACAGAGCGCACGCCGACGTCACTCGCGGTTCACGGCCGCCTCGCGATACGCACGAGTGTTGAAACTTGAAATTCAGTAAAAAATATCCCAGTGCTATTTTTATTAACGTGCAGCAACAGCGACGATGCGGAACTACGTACGGTGAGTTACCCTGTTATTACGCGATTTATGATAATTCGTACCCTTGACCGAGGGTTATTGGAAGTTATCGCACTCCGCCGGCCAAGTTTTAAAAGTTTCTGCAAGCTTCGATATTTATGCATGTGTTAATTAGTGTGCTGAACGAGGATAAAGAGCTCTTTTACATTGGGTTCGTTATACAAGTTTTGTTGGAAGATGAGTCAAGTGATCAGTGTTGAGAAGGCAACCACTCGATTTTACGAATTTTATGTGCACATATTAAGGGCCGCCTTTAAGTTATTCAGTTTTTACGAGTAAATAATTAGCAATGTTAAAAACTTCTAATATGAAACGAAATGGTTCGGCTACCCTGTGCAAAAACAATGGAATGTCAGCGATTTCACACGCAGATAAAAATGGCTACGATGAGTTGGTAATAAACAGTCGGTGTTTAATATTGAGGCAGAGCGCTTTATTATTGTAGGAACTCGGCGGCGTCGGTAATGAACGTACTTAAAGTTACTATACAGAATGCAACAGGAGGTGGCATGCCGTTTATACACTACTTGCTATAAAACTGTAGAAAACAACAGAAATTTTAATGGAAACCAATATAAATTGCAATTAACGTAACCAACATAAAATGTCCGTTGTATGATTGAGCGAGTACGGTTTAAAGTGTTAAAATTAAAATCTATTCACTATTAACTTACTATAGTATTGCAGACTGGATGCAGAAACAGTCAAACCAGATTTATTTTGTTCTCGATATGCTTCAGCCAACTTTTAATTTATTTTCTGTATTTCAATCTGTAACTTCAGCGCCACACAGAGGCATTTTACCACATTATTGACATGTTGGATTTTAAAAATACAATTTAAAAAGTCAATTATAATTAGTAATATTAAGTAACTAAATAAATCAAGGGATTACAAAATTAATACTCCGAAAAACAATACAGAATATATATTTGAAGTTATAGGCAGGTACTTATATAGTCGAGGTAATTATTATAGTCCTATAAACTTAATAGGGTAAATATTTATTAGCTCAACGACTTAAAACAAAGTAAAGGAGTATCACATGCAATGCTAATCAATTTCGTATTATAAGTATCTGGTGGGGCGGCTAGCAAGGCGCAGACGGGCTGGACTTCCATTTATCAAAGTGCACTGGCAATAATTACGCGTCCACTTGATTTACTAACTAGCGTCGTAATACATGTTGCCCTGTAATAATCGCGAATAATGAAATATTAATTTTAGAGCCGTCCCCCAACGTTTGCGACGAAACGGAGATCTTATCGGCCGCTCGGCTGGACCAGGTTTAATGTTCAAAAGGCCCGGACCCTTTGGCCCAATACTAATTTAAAAAGTCGCGCGTGCTCCGTAATTAGAAAATAATTTCACACGCATTTTCGATAATGACTGGTTCGAAGCTTTGATGTCGGGACCGTGAGTTGTTTATGTATGAAAGCTATCATGTTATGCTTATGAATTTTAATAAGGTGATCAGTCAACTTTTAAAGTTACAGTGCGAACAGCGAGTTATAATATTGAATGCGTTGAAACTATTTTCGATTTATGTGGCGAAGCAAAATAATGAGGCAAAGAAAACATTTTTAAGGAAAAAATGTATGTAAATAAAAACTGGTTGTCTCATAATGAACTAAGGGTTGAGTCTAACTAGCATGGTTGTCTTCCAACGCACTGTACTAGACAGAGCTCGACACGGACGGTTAGACAGTGCGTAATAGCCCAATAAATCTTCTAATTAGACATTAATTTGCTATTTCCTTTATTGTGATTATTATCGGCGTTTATGAACATGAGATGGCACGAATGTTAGTGATAAAAATGTAACATTTGATTATGTGCACTTTAACAATATATTGTACGTTTTAGTTTTGTATTTACTGAGATATAAGCTATGTTATATGTGTCTCATTATAACTAAACTTATGTGGGTTGGTTGTATATTTTTGAGTGGGGTAAAACTCTTGGGTTTTAAATTCTTATTGACTAAAAACCACCCCGTTCTTTCTCCTGCTCTAGGCAGATATACATAAGCATGTATTATTGCGCTTGACCCCCAACCCCGACACGGACGGGCACGGACTTGGTTGTCTCAGCGGTCTTTTATGACAACAGGGGGCTGACCATGACATATATGACAGAGAAAGAGCTATACAAGTTGTCTAGCTCTGTCTCCTAGCCTCCAGGTCCATTGATCGCCGACGAAGAAGATTACTGTCTCAATGCAGGTTCTATGTTTTCAATCAATATTTGCATTTCGTTCATAAGGTATTATGATCTCTGTGAACTCGTGAATCCGTGAGATAATAAGCCTCTATCACCTCTATGTTCTTATGTGTATAAATTTGAAACCTAAAGATAAAACAATAACTGTAGCAGGCTAGACAAAAAATATTTATTATAATAAATGGCTCGGCAGGAAAAGCGAAATAATAATTTTAATAACAAAGTTCTTTGTTATTAAGATTACTCTGCTCCTTAGTGTCTTACCGTGTGGTTTTATAGCCGACTAGCTACTCCCGCGCGGTTTCACTCGCTGCAAGGCTCCATTTGATTGTAGCGTGTGTTTTATAGCACTCGGGAACATTGTAGCCATCAATTAGTGAAAGAATTTTGGAAATCCGAGCAGCGGTTCCAAAAATTGCCCTCTTCCAAAACTTACAAAATTTACTTCTTTATAATATTAGAGTATAGATAAAATATTAAAAATATTTTTGAATATCGAATGAGTTCCTGAAAAAGACATCCTGCGTAAACGTTTTAAAAAAACAAAAAAACAATCAGCCATGCTCTGTAGTTTAATGTTAAGCGAGGTTTATGCAATATTTTATGTATATAAGTGGATTCGTATTCGTCACCACTCAATCTTTTTAAAATCTGATAAGTATAAGAAAAATATAAATACCTGCATATTAATTTAATACGTGGCCAGCGGCCTGTCAAGCCTAAAATAGGCTTTTAAACTCTGATTTTCCTTAAGATTCCTGACATCAGATAGATCTAGTTATGTTTTCTTTAATATCGGTTCGAAAAAGTGTCGATGTGACTAAAAATACTCAGTATCATACCGTTACCAGAGACCACATCAATGAAAAAAATTTAACGTTTTGCTATACAAATATAAATTCCATTGTGATGACGAAAAGTTGTCAACAAAAAACTATAATAAGATTTCAATAACTGACATTTTATCATACCTATGGCAAAAAATCGAATCACTTATTGTAAAGGTATTCGTAACACGTAGGCGATTACCGATCATTACTTATAACAGTAATCTAAACTACAAGAAATTCATAATTATATTTGAAATAATAATAAAATAATAATTATGAATAAGTTTGGTACCTAAGTTCTTCACGGAAAATACGAACTTGATACGTCCTGAAATGAAAATCCTAAATGGCAGAAGAAATTTGTTCAATTTCTTGTTAAATCTTTCCTATTACTAAATAAAAATTGAAATAGTAAATAAGATTGTTTCCTTACTTGTATGTTTTTATTATAATAAATTTATCTAATTAAGCAATATTATTATTAGAAAAGGGTTTGAAAGGAAAGACTGTCGTCGCAAAACTCAATTTCATATGATTAGAATCCTTTTTTATGGATTGCTTAACTAACTCAGTTCGTGTATTTTAATTAACATTAAATGAATGTAATCGTGGACGGTTTTAGAATTGATTTACTTTATTTTACACTGTTTTACGGCAGATATAATTTTATTGCTGATAGTAAAACAGTTATCGAATTGATTAGTTGCGAGAAAATAAATATATCTGCTTCCTAATTAACTGTTGATATTTAGTTTTTCTCATTTAAACAAAAATCGATTATTGTCTCCTTAAACAAGTCGGAACTATAGTTATCATTTGTCTACTAATAAACTTGGAAAATTCACCATCCATTATTTTAAGTCTGACGTAATTTTGTAACAATAGAAAAGTCAAGCTAGAATCCGTCTTAGCGAAAAAACAGCGTCAAGTAAATGAAAAAAAAACTGTCGGAATATAAAACTTGTGCATTATGGTTAGCATAGACAGCATGAAGTTTTAAAATATCTTACAAAGTACTCGTTGGAAAGTAACGTCAAGAAGAATGACAGGCTGGTGTCTGCTATCTGATTTCGATAAATAAAAGAACAATGCAAAATACAAAGGATTTTACTGGATTTTTATCATCATACCCATTGTTGTCTTCATGTTTTCGTTCCTAAGTTTTGTTTGTTTAAATTTATTTTTAGTGTCGGCTAATACGATATCTTTTACATTTTCCCCTTTTTTCTGCGTCAGGTTTCATACCTGTTTAGAGAATTGCATTGTCTATTTCAATCTTCATTCGTCTGTTGAGTTATTATTATTATTATGAGTTCAGTGTACTTACTGCAGATTGTCTTCAATGTTTATCTTTGAATTAAATCATTCATTACGACACGGAGTATTATTCACGTTCCTATTACATAACTTGTAAAATAATGACTCAATCACTAGTATTTTGACAATATGTAATTATTGATTTAAACTGCCGCAAGTCAATTCAAAACAAGCGAATGTTTTTGAAGTTTAAACAGAATAATGAATTGGTTATTCTAACAGTAATAGCTTATACCACGAAGAATAAATCAAAGATCCGAATGCTTAACTGATTAAATATGACAATTTGTTAGATGTCGCCGCGCGTCACGCACCAGACGAAGACGAAATGTCGAGTCAATAACTCTTTTAGTTTATTTAAGAATTGTTTGTGGAGGCCAGTGTTGCGTGTGGCCCGGGATTCCGCGAAGTCCGGGATTGGTCGCGTGAGACCGGGAACGGGACACGTGTAGACAACGGCGCGTCATTAATCGCACGCGAAAGTGTTCCCGCCGATGCGCTATGGAGATAATGTTATTGCGCCACGTTCATTTGGAACTTGAGCCTTCATCATTACTTTGTTAATTGAATATTCTCACATTACATAAGACTTTCTTGTGAAAAATAACATGA